AAAAATGTGTGACCAACACGCCTGGCAAAGGCAGATGCTCTTATATTTACTGCAAGGAGACTAACGATGGCCGGGTTACTTTCTCTTGTGGTTGTGTCCTAGCTGTTTCCAATATGTCCTTATAACTATGTATAACTCCTGTGTCTTAACCGTTACCATGACAGTGTCCCTGTAGATATATTACCACTGTGTCCTAACCATTACCACTGTGTCCTAACCATTACCACTGTGTCCTAACCATTACCACTGTGTCCTAACCTTTACCACTTTGTCCTAACAATTACCAATGTGTCCAAACTATTACGCCAGTGTTCGAGCCATTACCGCTGTGTCCTAACCATTACCGATGTGTCCTAACCATTACCGATGTGTCCTAACCATTACCGATGTGTCCTAACCATTACCGATGTGTCCAAACCAAAAAACATTGCCGATTCGTCTTACTATCCTAAAGTCCTATTACTGCTGTGTCCCAACCATTACTGCTGTCCTAAACATTGCCGATGTGCCCTATTATCCTAATGCCCTATTACTGCTGTGTCCCAACCATTACTGCTGTCCTAAACATTGCCGATGTGCCCTATTATCCTAATGCCCTATTACTGCTGTGTCCCAACCATTACTGCTGTCCTAAACATTGCCGATGTGCCCTATTATCCTAATGCCCTATTACTGCTGTGTCCCAACCATTACTGCTGTCCTAAACATTGCCGATGTGCCCTATTATCCTAATGCCCTATTACTGCTGTGTCCCAACCATTACTGCTGTCCTAAACATTGCCGATGTGCCCTATTATCCTAATGCCCTATTACTGCTGTGTCCCAACCATTACTGCTGTCCTAAACATTGCCGATGTGCCCTATTATCCTAATGCCCTATTACTGCTGTGTCCCAACCATTACTGCTGTCCTAAACATTGCCGATGTGCCCTATTATCCTAATGCCCTATTACTGCTGTGTCCCAACCATTACTGCTGTNAAAAAAAAAAAAAAAAAAAAAGAGTACCGGTAGTTAACTTCTCTTTTTTTTTTATACCCGGACTTCGAAAAATTTCGTATCCAGAATTAGAAGATACCCGGACTGTACACAAAAAAAACTCCACCAGGCTTAGCCCTACCATTTATGTCAGTGTATCTCAACGGGGGCAACATGGCCCAGCAGGATTCTGCGTCATATTGTTTGTGAGCCATCAAAGCTTTAAATAAATGATGTTTCTATATCGAAAATAGTAGATTGTTTTACGTGGTGGAAAAAGGTTGAGAAATGCAGTGTGTGGGGGAGGGGGGGTGTCAGGCTTGGTTGGAATGTGATATTTTGTGTGCGGCTGGGTAGGTTGGAAGCGGTGAACGGTCTCTGTAAATGTGCACGTGTGCTCAAAAGTATTATTACAGTATGCGCAGTGACTCCACGCATCTGGATATCCCCCAAGGAAACATCGTGTGAGGTTGATACAGCTTGGCATCAGTGGCGTAGCCGTGGTTGCCGGAATGTTCATTGCGTCAAAGGCATACCGCATTCGGGACTCCATCTCTGAGTTCGAATTTAGAGTTGTTCTTCTGTTACATGAGTTGCCATTCAAAGTTAACGAGTCCCATCCGCCCGTGATGCTAGTGATGTGTTTGCTTGTCTAAGTTTTGACGGGGGATGGAACTGCAGTCCACAAGCTTGGGGTTGACTTGGTTTAGTAAATATATATCACGTGGAAACCGTGTAAAAAAACAGCAAAAGCGTCCCAAAGAAGCTCAGAAAAAGCGCTCCTTAGCAAAAATACACTTACCAAAAGAGAGTTTTTAAAAAAGTGTAAATAAAAAAAATCAGAATTCAAACTTATCTTAGGTAGTCTCCCAGAGAGCTTCAATAAAGTAGTCCCCCAGAGAGCTTCAATAAAGTAGTCCCCCAGAGAGCTACACAATCATGATAGTGAACTCTGGGGTAAGGGAATTACGAAAGTACAAGGAAAGGGAAAAACTATATGCCCTGGAACGAGTAGCGCAGATTGTAGATACAGACAGAATATAAATACAGACTGTAGATACACACTCTAAAATTGACAGAATATAGATACAGACAGAATGTAGATACAGACAGACTGTAGAGACAGACAGAATGTATATACAGACAGAATGTATGATTAACCTAAATACCATTAGGAGGAAAGAAGGCTTTAGTCTAACATAGATTTCCACACATGTTTAGTTCTTCTTTTTCTTTCCTGTGGGGCGTCTCATCTGTTAGTTCAGGGGGTGTGGAGTGTCTCAAGAGTGGGATGTCTCATATGTTACTGTTACTATAAGGGGCGTGGTTTCTAATCAATTAATACAAGGGAAGGGGTGTCTCATCTGTTACTGTTACTTTAAGAGGCGTGGTTTATAATCTAGTAAAACAAGGGAAGGGGTGTCTCATCTGTTACTGTTACTATACGGGGCGTGGTTTCTAATCTAGTAATACATGGGAAGGGGTGTCTCATCTGTTACTGTTACTATAAGGGGTGTGGTTTCTAATCTAGTAATACCTGGGAAGGGGTGTCTCATCTGTTACTATAAGGGGTGTGGTTTCTAATCTAGTAATACATGGGAAGGGGTGTCTCATCTGTTACTGTTACTTTAAGAGGCGTGGTTTATAATCTAGTAAAACAAGGGAAGGGGTGTCTCATCTGTTACTGTTACTATACGGGGCGTGGTTTCTAATCTAGTAATACATGGGAAGGGGTGTCTCATCTGTTACTGTTACTATAAGGGGTGTGGTTTCTAATCTAGTAATACATGGGAAGGGGTGTCTCATCTGTTACTATAAGGGGTGTGGTTTCTAATCTAGTAATACATGGGAAGGGGTGTCTCATCTGTTACTGTTACTATAAGGGGTGTGGTTTCTAATCTAGTAGTACAAGGGAAGGGGTGTCTCATCTGTTACTGTAAGGGTCAGAGTGTCTCATCTGTTACTACAAGGGATGGTGCGTGATCAATTACTTCAAGGGGTCGGGTGTCTCATGTTTAACTGCAGGACAGGGGTGTCTCATCTGTTAGTATAAGAGTGCGGGTGTCATATGTTACTACAATGGGTGGGGTGTCTCAACTTTAACCATGGGGCAGATAAATGAAGGGGCTTTAAAAAAAAAAACAAGGAATTTCGCTTTCTAGACCTAGGGCGTTGGCTGTTTTATCCAAGGGGCGTTGTCTGTTTACTTTTAACCATTCGTTGACGTCATCGACCAGGCCTAATTATCTCATTCGTTCATCACTGCCACCTTTTGTTCTGTCTCTCTGAAATCCCACTCAATACAAACAAAAACTGCTGTAGAGCACGGGTCATGTGTTTTCACAGCTTCGACGTTTCCCTCCAATGTGCAGTCACGAGATACCACAACCAGGTCCTTAGCAACGCATCAACGTCCGATTGATAGAAGCCAATAAATCGATACGATCGAATGCTATCTCAACGATAGTAATATTCATATGACAAGTTTCAATGAATGCCTTGTTCTGCTATGCGGGCGGGGCCTTTTGGGGAAACTCCGCACCACACATACAGTTGATGACCACCCGTGCTTTAGCATAAGATTCCACCTACAAGTAGTCATGCAAAGTATTTTATGCTAGACACGATGCGGTCAAACTGGCAAGGGGCTTGACTACACTTCCGCCAAGGTTGTATCCGTGTGGAAGAAACATTCCTATTGTTTTGGAACAACGTGACATAACTTCCATATTGACGCCCCTCCCACTGATATTTTGGTACCAGCCTGTGCATTAATAATATACCTTTTGCTAAGTTTATGTATTTGAGTGGGAAAAATTGTCCACGTGAACTGAAGTAAGTAGATTATCCTTTGCTGACAATTAACATATTCCAGAGACTGGAACCCCCCCCCCCCTTTCTTTGCTAAATTACCTCTTTCCATCCACCAATCCCCAATTTGCTCTTCCACCCTGAATTCACGCATGACACAAACATAAATTTAATAAGATTTCTACAGCCGCAGTGGTGAGATTTCACGGTCGTGCGGGTACTCATACTCATACAAGACGGAAGTCGTTTCAAAGGACAGTCCCAATACTAATTTTGAACCAAGAGTTGAATGGTTCGCAGTCGCATGAATACTAACAGTGAAGGAAGAGAAGAAAAGAAAAAAAAAA